GGCTAGGATCTGGAACCAACTTCCAAGGGAAGTGGTTCTCACTCCTACCCTGGGGGTCTTCAAAAGGAGGCTAGATAATCACCTGGCCGGGGTCATTTGACTCCAACATTCTTTCCTGCCCATAGCAGGGGGTCGGACTTGATGATCTGCTCAGGTCCCTTCTGACCCTACCAACTACGAAACTATAAACATTTTTATGGCAGCACAAAGTGAAAGCAAACAGATGTCCATACTTTTTGCCGTGCCCAAAATGCCCAAATTTGTGGCTGCTACAAAAGGTAGTAATAATTTGTGCCTCTTTGCTGTGGCAGACATCTATTTGCTTATGGCAGGACAGTACGGACCATCCAAAGCTACCTGCATTCTCAGCTGCCTGCTCCGGGAGCTTGAGGGGCCCAATCCTATCCACCCTGGAAATTCCTGGGCAGAACTGGGCCCCTCAAGCTGCTGGAGCACCTACCTAGCTTTCCCTGCTTATTGAGATGCACCACCAGGATCTCTGAGGATGCATTTCAGTAAGCAGGGAAAGTCAGGGTTTCCCTACTTACCCAGATATGCCCCTGGGGATTTCCCTGGGGTAAGCGGGGAAAGCTTGGGTTTCACTTGGAGGCACGGATCACCTTGGGTCCCAGTGCGGAGGCACCAGGCACCAGGGCTTCCCCAGCTCTTGCACCACCCCACACTTCCACCCTGCCCCATGCTGACTTGTACCCCTGCATGAAGCACAGGGTATGTGGGTCCCAAGTGGAGGCATGGGGCTCCAGGCATTCTCTGGTTCCCACATTACCCCACACCTCTGCACTGCCTTGTGCTGATCTGTGCCTCCGCATAAAGCACAGGACAGCATGGGTCATGGCAAGGAGCCATGGGGTGGCATTGGAGCCAGGAAATTCCCAGTGTCCTATGCTTCCACAACAGAACCTGTGCTGACCCATGCCTCTATGCGAAGCATGGGCTTCAATGGGTTCCACTGTGGAGGCACAGGGTGCTAGGGATTCCCTGGCTTTTACACTGTGCTGCACCGCTGCTCTGTCCCATGCCAAGACCCATTCTGACCTCTGCCTCCATGTGAAGCACAGGTCACTGAGGGACCTGGCATGGGTCCTGATAACAAGGCAGCAAGGGACACAGGGAATCCTAGACAAGGGGAACACATCACCGAATAAAGTGGATCAGCTGTGGTGGGATGTGTCTGTTTCTATCCATGGTGTCACCTCTTCCAGTTTCCAGCTTCTTTTACAGGTTTCCAAGCTCTCCTATACAAACAACAGTCATGAAGTCTGTGAAAAAAACTGGATGGGAGAAGTCAGTTTAGTGGAACCAACTAGGAAAACCAGAAGCTGCCTTCTAAGGCCAAACCATCACTGGGAGAGGAATGTCCACTGCAGTAGGATAGAGAACAGGGCCAGGTGGCTAAGTAACTTGGGAAGGGGTCAGAAGGACAAAAAGGACCATAAATAGGGAAGCACATACCAGAGAGCTTAAAAGGTGGGAAGGAAGGGAAAGAGAGGGAGGGAGAACAGAAGGGAAGAAGAGATAAAGAAAAAACAAAAGTATTGACATAGTAATGAATACTCCACTTTCCTCCAAAAAAGACAAAATGTGTGTTCCATCAAGCACATATAAAACACATACCTAATTAGTTTTCTCCCATTCTACATAAGCAGTTGTGTAGTTACTACAAAGCTGTTACATGATTGTGAAAAGCAGGGAGAATAGTGTACCACATAATCCTTTTACTAAGATGTGGGCGATATGATGAAAAAAATTGCAAATCATATGCCAGCTGCTAACTGTTATTAGTCATACCGGTTTCAAAAATTAACTGTTTTATATTATTATTTTTATTTAAAAGGACAATATTCAACACGACCTGCCTGACGGTAGACTAAATAGCAGCAGGACAGCTCAGGAGGACTCTCAGCCATCACTGCTTCAGAGCCAGCTAGCAAAGTAAACAGAAAATCAAGTGGCAGGGGCCATGGCATTCTTTTTTGCATAGAGTTCCTGCAAGATCTCCTTCCACATCACAATGTCCTCACCTGCCTCATACTAAAATCTAATAACAGAAGCTTTCTAAAGCCCGTTTTATAGGCTAAGCTCAGATCTGGTGGAGTCAACTGAGTTATATACCCTATTATAGTTGAATGTTATCCCAAGAACTGTTCTCAGATATAGTTCAAGAATGACATGAGAAGTTCTCTTGCCACCTAGGGGCTGCCTGTGTTGCACTCCCAGTTATGAAACTAAGTGATGAATACTTTGTATTCATTAGAACAGCATGTGAACAGGCTTGGGATTTCAAAGAAAACCTGTAAGAGAGTTTCGGAATCTATTGCCTTGTGTTATTCATGGAGAGCTTCGTTTGCAGGAAGCCAGATAAAATATGCAGTGAACTTTTCAGAATGCAGGAAAGATGTGCCTCTGACTGGCTCAGTTTTGTGAAATGTTGTCTCTCTGAACACACACTGTTAAAAACCCATTTCACCTGAATCTACTGTTATTGACTTACCTCATCTGAAGCACTAGCTGTGTGGAGGCTGATCACCCTAAAGGATCCTCCAGACTGTCTGGCTACTTTTTCCATTATTTTTTGTGTGTGGCTTTCAAAATCACCTGGATTTCCCACCAGGTATACAGTGTGCACAGGGCGTGACTCCCCAGTCTCTATAAGAAAGTGACAGATTTCCTCTGAAGTGCTCTCAAGGACAGCATCCGTGACCAGGTACACTGCCTGGCACCCGGGATCTTCAAATGCTGCAGCCAAGGCACACGCAGCTTCTGCACCATCCCCACACTGCAGGGCTCTAATCCATGCTGCTGCTTCAGTGACGGTACTGAGAGAACATTTGACTAACTCACTGCGCCATTTTACCACCTGCACAAAAGACAAAATTTTAACCCAACTAAAAAAAAACCCAGCAATTCAGAAAGGAAATATTTTATAACAGAACTTTTGAAAAACTGATAAAAAACATGGCACTTTCGACTTAACAGGGGATGTTGTAAAAACCCAGGAAATTCTCAGTATAGAAATGAAAATTCAATGCTGGTCTTTCAGAGGTGTTTGAGGAGAATTGCTGTGTAATTGCTAACACCAAGGGCCATGATGTCAGTGATGAGGCTAAAATTGACACTGCAGTTTCCTACGTACTGTCTCTGTAATCGGTGTGGTAACTGCAAGCTCACTGATCTTAGTCACTATTTAAATTAATATTACTTCAAACTCCTCTGTTCTAGGGTTCTTCGAATCGTGGACACAAAGAAAAGGCCAAATATCAGAACTAGCAAGATAACAGCAATTTTGGCATTTCTCCTGGACATGCAAGGTAAAGAGAGGGAAGTTTCAAACAGAATAGAACGTTCTGGGCTGGAGTGAAAAGAGGATGTAACTATAGAATTGATAATGGTGACGGAGAATGGGAGGAAGAATGAGTTCAGGAGACGAGTTAGGAGTTCAGTTTTTGATGAGTTAAACTGGCAGTGAACCATCTAAAAGGAGATGCCAGAACTTAAAGAAGGAATTTAAGGAATTCAGGCAGGGTGAAAGCCAGCTTTTACTAGTTCAGAAGATGAGGAAGAAACTGAATATTTGAAAGTCACGGAAAACCAAACAAGTGCCAAGCAGCATGACAAAAAAAATAAAAACCAATATACCTTCCAGCAAAACTCAGCCCTTTTGTTTTGTTCCCAGAGCTGAGAGGCTGACATTGCTATTGCACATGATTACTCTTCTAGGTTAGGGATTTGGGGGTGTTGCCATGCAAAAGAGCAGACAAGAGGTTCCACGGGATTTGAAAATGCCTCTATCCCATATACTGCTACTACTCTCATCAATTAAGCATGAATGGGCCTATAGTTGCCCGGGTCCTTCAAGATACAAGGGGGCCATGGGGAGAGGGATCTAACACTGGGGGTCTACTA